ATCGGACGGGGAGGACAGCAGTTGCAGGGAAACTGGCTCCCGGCCTGGTGGAAGGAACCTAACCTGACCGGGACTTCTTCCTCGTTCCAATCTCAACGTCATATTTGACAAGACTAATACCAGAAGGTGGGAGAATAAATTTAATCTGCATAATAGATAACAGTGAATGAAAATTGTGTAACAGAAGCGGCCTTGTGCATTCCTATGAGAATCAGAGGAAAATGAAAGCAATTCCGCACGGATCAAAACGTGCACACGCGCATTGCTCCAGACTCTTAGTCGTAACTCCGCGTACGCCATTAGGGAAGCACAAAACTGCTCTGAAATTCCTATAAATGTCCGTCATATTAAAAATGTTTGAAATAAAATTTCTTTCTCGTTTTAATGAGATTATTTATTACGTTATATACCAGCTTCGTGTAAAGTCTGTCCTCCTGTCAATTTATCTCCATCCGCTTTAGCTGCGTCTTGTGAACTTCGGATGTAGGATATTCATTACGTCACTCGAGTTCGATGCTAAAGCAGACTTTTCTGAATTACTGAGTGCAGCCAGCAGCAATGTCTGCCGCCTAGGATATTTTCTGTTACCCAAGAGAGACGTTTCTTGTAAATGCAACGCAGAACGCATTCGTTTCTGTAATCCGGAGTAACTGCTGTCGGAGGCATTCAGACTAAATGAAGCAGATCGAGACGAGACTGGATCTGCTTTAAAATGTACGAACGTTTTATGGCGTCTTAAAAGAGAACTACAAACAGTCTCGGACTGCTCGCCCAAATCTCTGAGGGAGGGAGAAAAGTTTTAAAATATTCTCAGAAAACAACTTTTGGACAGCCTCGTTCGTTATATTTATTTTTGAACTGACGTACAAAATCGGTTATCGTGTATTTAATTACGTCTCTTTCACTTATTTCGCTTATTTCCACTGCCAAAAATTTTATCCTCGGTAAGGAACTGAGTTTGCGACGAAACTTTTCCTTACGAAATCATTTCTATCCACACAAACATCACAACCTGCAGTTTACTCTTGTATCCTGCAACACAGTTCGGCGTCACTTGCTTCTTAGCTCCTGTAATCGCGTACGGTCTGCAGAGAAATCATCAGCAAAGAAGCCGTAAGATCTCTTCTTACGTCGTGTCTGTGAGGTGAGAAAAATACAATGCAGTAGTAACTTTGGCCACGCGTGCGTTAAATATGTTTACCGTTGTGGAAACAAAACGTAATTTATTTATGATAGACTCGTTCCGCAACTAAAAATTTTATTTTTACAATGTTTATGTAATAAATATATCACAAAAAGTGATTTATGTAAATCGTAAACACGTCCACATTTTGCGTTTTAGACATTTTCCGCGTGCCTTGCATAATAATGGAGGACCCGCGGTTCTGAATGTAAGCCAATGACATCAACAAACGAGGTCCTCGCGAGGCGAATGCAGAATGCGAATCGACTCGCTCGTTCAGCGAAATTCAATCTGCCGCTGCCGGGCACGCCCGGCCCCGAATTCCACAGGCAATTACAGCAAACCGTTCTCAAAATGAGAGAGTGAAAAGGCCGCCGTTTTCAATAAAACGCGGGTTTTGAGAGAATTGTCTTGACAATAAAGACGGAACTCGGTATAAGTGTCCTTCGCAGTTGGCCCTCGCCTGGCGCCGCACAATGACCAATTAATGACTGAAGCGGTTTTAAGCAACAAATCGCACTAAAATAATTACGATCGCCTGGCAACAAGATGAGACCCTGGGAGAAACGGATGACGCCGTTCGTCCGCCATGAATCCTGAGTGAATCGCGTGAAGTGGAAGGTGTCAGTAAGGCACGGGAACTGCAGATAATGTGATAATAGCACCGTCACCTGCTTGAAGGACGCCCGGACGCCCGCCCGTCGAACGAGTCGCTCGCTGTAAATTTTAATACAGAACACACAAAAGCTCTCATGATCGGGCGCCACCTGTCGCGGCGCACGCCCACGAGCGTCGTAATGCGCAGGCGCATAATCACCTAGTTCCCTTTTTTAGCTCTGGGGCCTACGACATACGTCTCTTGTACGTAACTTCAGTTCCTGGCTTTACAAACCACGTGTTCTTAGCTCGGCTTACAAAGTTCTGAGCTGGCATTCTGGACTAGTGCAGCGATGATCCTGGCCAAGAGAGAGAATTTTTGTCTTTCATAAAGCCGCCATTTTGGAACAAAAGCTGCACATAGTACTTGCCTCCATCTCAGAAGTTCGTGCGTACGTCACGAAAGCTGACCGCTATTTCGCCCGATCTGCGAGCTCACTCCCACCGTGACGACGGCTAAGGCAGTCTTCAGTTTCTGTTCCTACCACAAAGACAAAACTCGGGCTATTTTTTTAGCCTAATGGCGACAGTGATAAATGAAGGACGGCAGCGAACTGAGAATTAATTAGGATTCGAAAGCTGAAGGCTTTCGAGTTGCGTTACTAGGAGATCATTCGTCCGGTGCAGGGCGCAAGGCGGAAGACCGACCTCGGTGAAAGACCAACTAATGTTCCATGAACGTACGAGAGACTTCGTCCGGAAATTGGAGTCACTGCAATTTCAATGGACAACAGAACAATGAAGCAAGGGGGGTCCAATATGAGACAAACTCCTTTCCACATATTGGGTTCTATATTGTACCCGATGACAGAAGCTCAGACAACTTCCGAAACGTGTTTCTCGCACGTTAACGCGATCGTATTAAAGTATTGGGCAGGTTATTTAAGCGTCCCCAGTTTTTCGTCTCTTTATCCAAATTAATTTCGTGTCGGCGACTTGAAACAGACCACGGCGGCCTCCTTCCAAGTCCCTACCTATTCACCGTTCGTAGTCGTATTCAAAAACCTATGCAGCTGAAATAC